TATGTCTCTCAGTGAATCGCTTATAACTTTGTTCTCTCGTCTCCGTCTGGGTCTAATTATTTACCCTTCTGCCGTCGTCCTCGCTCTGTGGCCAGCGTGTGTCTCTCACTCAGGTGTTTGTCTGAGCTGAGTTGACTTAATGGAAAAATATATCCCCTAAGTAATTAATTATATCTGTGTGTTTGTGTCTGTGTTTATGTATTTATAGTCATTTTATACAAATCCAGATATGCAAAGGACTCCGACTAGCCAAGTGAAGGCCACTCTGACGCACCAAGTTACTGCTGTTGATTGGCTCACACATGTAAACTCTCCAGTGTTAGTTTTTTTCTCTGTGTAGATTTCTGTTTAAAGAAAGATGTTTTGACCAATTTCTATCACAGCCTGAAATCATGGGTTTAAATCCTTGACTTATTTTTTATTATTATTTGTGGTTGGGTTGTATTATTATATTAAAACACCACAACATAGAAACAGAGCGCGGCCAGTGATGTCCTCTCTGACCTAGGATAAAGTGGTTTTTCACTGGACTTAATCTATCTTACACATACACAACTTTGCTGTGTATTCAAAATCTTTACCAAATATGTGATGCAACTCAGCTCACTGAACTGCCAGGAGGTGAAGATGTCATAGCTAGGTGGCGACAAAGTCGAGCGGTGTGTTATATGTTCTGTTCGACAATGTTATAATTACCATTTAGTGTTTGTTTAAGTCAATTTATTACAAATTGGACTCCAATTCTGCCATTTTTTTTAATGGTCCCTTTGAGAACCCAGTGTCCCCCGTCACTCCTTCCTTGTCTTCCCGTCTCCCCAGATCACAACCGACTGATCCTCCAGCACCTTCACTCCAGGGAAATAAGCACAGAATCATTTACTCATCTCCCTTTTTTCCTCTTGTGTCTCATGTCTTCGTCTCTCTTCCCCTCTGCTCTGTTCTCCCTTCATCGTTCTCCTCCCCACCTCTCTCTCTCTCTCTCTCTGCTTCAATTATTCTGTCTGTGCTGCAGGTACAGAGCCAGAGTGGAGAAAGTTGAGTCGGCAGCAAAGGTGCACGTCTTCTACATCGACTATGGCAACGTAAGTAGTGTTCTAATGTGTGCATGTGGGAAGAAAGTGTCTGACTGTTGAAAGTAATGTTATCAGCCGAGATCAGCGTCAGTCGGAACGGAAACACAAAGCCACAGGCAGAACGCTATTGGAAAGTGGATTTTTGTCCGTTTCTATTTTCAAGACGGCAGTTCTCGTTTGTTTGGATATAAACCCCCCCCCCCCCACACACACACTTATATACATATACAAAGGTATATATACTACGTGAGTTTCCAGCTACATGTTTACATCACCACATAACTTGTACAGCCATCACCTGGTTTCAGGGTTGTTTACCATGATGTAGTAGAGCAGCGTGAGTGACCCTCAACAATGGGGTCAGTTAGGGGTTGGTCCAGTAAAACCAATGTTAGCAGTTTATTAAACGTGTGATTCACAGTGATTCATCCTCCTGAGCCACTCCAGTGTAAATCTCCGTGTCTTCGGGGATGGTGTCTTCCTGGCCTTTTCATTGAGTTTTATCATGAACTGTTAGTCCAGGGTGCAGCGCGGTACCACCGTCATTATATGATCATTAACAAACACAGCCGAGCTCTTTTTGGGTCATTTTTTTAAGGCCACGTTTACAGTGCTGTCACAAGCTAACGCGCTGTCGATAAATCTCAACCTTCTAATTCATAATAAATGTTGAGCCTATTCTCTGTCTAGACTGTACAGTCCAATGAACACATTAACCTAAGACGTGGGGGTCATTAAATTACCTCCCCACTTCTGACTGCTATATTTGTCTGACTTTCCACCAGTGTGTTCTCCCTGTAAGTGGCCCACGGTGATCAGTGGTCGGCCATTACTCAGGCCCGCTAATAACTGCCAGGGTACATTGTCTTTAGGACGTCGGGATTTCTTATTTATCAAGAAAAATGAAGGAAGGTTTGAAAGCCAAAATGCCAAATCTAGTCAGAAACAGTTAGCTAGACATTGTCTACATACAAAAAATGCTTAAAGACCCAGAACAGAAAAATAAAAAAACAAAACAATTTTGAAAATAAGATGAATGTTCATTAGCTAGCTTAAAGCTAGCTAGTGAAGCTTGCTTTTTAGCCCAAAAAATTGGTTAATATTGCTATCTAGTCGACTAGACCGGTCTAAACATAGCATACATATAGATCATATAGATGGTAAGTAAAAATATTTTCTCAACATAATTAAGAAAATATGGTAAAAAAAAAACTTAATGACATCGCACAGGAAGAGCTAGGAGTTCCTTAACATGGTTAAGACGGCTAACTCATAGAAGAAAACCCAGTATATACAATCACACTGGTGTGGTTGACGTTCCAGTTCCAGTTGTCGTTTGTTTTACTCGTGTTTCACCTTTTAGGTTGTTTTGTGAAGCTGCAGAGCAGATGGTTTAGTGAAAGGGTCTGAGCTCTGCTGTACAAACAGCTGTGAAACAAGTGGAAAGGTGACGTTCACAGGCACGCCACCCTCAGGCTCCGTTTGCTAAATGGCACCTATTTTTTTTTTTGTTTGTTTTTTATTTCACACTTGTAAAGTAATGTGTGAATGCAGGAAATGTATTCCCAGGACTAAGAGAAATTAGTTTGAAATTGAATGAAGGCTGTAGCCGGTGCAGTGATATATTAGCTTTGGATCACAAGGACAGTCTACATAACAGGGATTTTTTTTTTTTTTTTTTACCTAATTGTACCTACTTGGTTGTTTACTTTAATGTCCAAGATCAAAAGTCAGCATTTTGAAACCTTGAACACAGTGGTTTGACATCAGTTGAAATTGCATTTGTTTTAGAGTCTGAGCAACAAACAGGGTTTGACATCAGTTGAAATTTGTTTTAGAGTCTGAGCAACAAACAAGTGTCAGTGTGTGATCCGCTCTGTTTCTGCCTTTATCCCCTCCTTTAGAGAGAAGTTGTGTCCACCACCCGTCTGGCTGCCATGCCCCCTGCCTTCAGCACCAGGATCCTGCCTGCTCAGGCTACTGAGTACGCCTTCGCCTTCATCCAAGTCCCACAAGACGTAAGTGAACGCACAAGCGAGCTCGGGCACAGAGCGGAGAGATGTGTGGCAGCGGAGAGCCTCTAAATTAACCTCCAGATATCAACTGTGTTTTTTGCTCTAATTTTCTGCCCTTTTCAAAGTTGACTTTCCCGACCACTCAAAGAAAAAAAGCGGTTTGAGTTTGACTCATCACATGAAATTATAAGTGTGTAACTGAGTGACAGGGTTGAGTGTTTTACTCCCGGAGAGGGATGGCGATAATTGAGCTCATGCATTTTGCATTGAGTCACAGCATTGATGAAGCATCGATTTAACCGCTGTCAGAAAATGACATCATGACACAGCTGCTTTATTGACAGTTTAACAACTGCATTCTCGTGTGTTCTTGTGCGAGAGCAACGTAAGTTCTCCTTCCTGGTTAAAAATCATCTGTCGTCCTGTGTTTGTAGAAAAATCATTTTAACAGCAACAGTAACGTTGTCATTTCGTTAACTACTTATTGTTAAACATTAAATGAATTAGAATGCTATTCATAAAAACATTTGCACTTTCTAATGCTGTACAATCTAGCACCAGGTTATTCAAATAGTGACTGCGGGCAGAATACAACCTCAGAGTGACCCGGTATACGGTCAATTGAGAACAGTGGCGAGAAACAGAGGAAATCAATGGCGTGTAATTAGAAGTTCCTACAGTAGAGTTGACCATGAATGCAGCTCTCTGTAGCCTAGCAACATGGAACCCACAATGTATCACTTGTCTGGAAATGTTAGCAGTTTGTTACACAGGAATATGTCAGATACGACCATTTACCACTGAAATCTCTCTCTTTAACTTTGCCCAAGTCTGGTTTAGTTCATATCCAAACTCGTGAGCAATTATTTTGCTAAATGAAAAATCTCCCAGAATTCCAATTTTTCAGAATCGGTTTAACCAACATATATATATTATTTAATCCTGTTTCACATGATTTTTTTTTTTTTTTGACATCTGAAGACGCAGTTGTTGTTTTTCTTCTCCTCTGCCTTCAGCTCTAATCTTCTTGTTTACAGCTGAATGTGTTTACTTATCCCCTGGTGTGCGTTTGTCTGTGCATGTGTGAGTGAGGAGGTCAACTCATTGATAGCATCCAAGAAACCGAGGGCATAATTGGTTGCGTGTCTGTTCAAGAACAAACACACACTTGTTTGCCTCGGCGGCGTTGTCACCTAATTCCTTTCCTGAAGGAAGAGATTTAAAAAATAATAACAAAAATAAAATACAAAATTGACCCCTTAGCTGAACAGAGTCAGCACTAAATGAAGGAAAACCAGAGGATTTGTTGCAACCTTTAAGCTTTTAAATTAAATTATAAAACATTTCCAAAATCCCTGGAGCTTTTAAACATTTTTTTTCTTAACTTTTAAGCTATCTGTTAGTTGTTAGCCATTTTCTTAAAATCGGTCATAAAATATCTTTGTTTTCTCTGATATTATCTAACCAAACTTTCTTTATATATTACTCTTTTAAGCAACCTTTGCAGTGTAATATATTCAACCTCATATATCCTCATATATAATTGGAGCCACAACACATTTTGCGCTGAGTTAGGATGTGATTTTTAATTCTGTATTTCTCACTTAAATACACATATATTTAACGTTCTGGCAGTGTCTCATTAAAAGCCTGAGTCACAGATTGTTTCAGCAGTGACTCACTCACACACACACACACACACACACACACTATCTCTCTCTCTCTCTGTATTTGGTCTAGGTATAGCTGTAATTGTAGGGACATTGTTTTTTAGGTTAAAAAAAAAAGATAAAAACTGTTTACGTCTCCACCAGGACAGCTGGTATTTTAAGGGTTAAGTATTACCTTATTATACTGATTAAGAATAGAATCTAACAATGGTCTGTCATAGGGTAGGATTTAAGGTTAGGCAGACATATGTGTTGGTTAAGGTAGGGTTGAGGGGTCAGGGAATGCCCTATGTCTATGTGCCCAAAAAAGTCCACACAAGTCATGAAACCCAGACTGTATGTGTCCTTCTGTCTGTGTGTATATGTGTGTGTTTCCCATGCGCTTCCTGTCACCTGTCTCCTGAGTCAGTGTCTCTGGAAAGAAGTGTCCCATCTGTTGTTCAACCTGGGGAATACAGGCATCACCTGCACTTAGATGTCTTAAACACACACACACACACGCACAGGAACCCACACACACCGACACACGTTTCCCTTCTTTTCACCCTTCTCTGTCACTCTGTATCTGTCAGACCTTTTCCCTGTTCTCCGTGTTTTCTCCTGGGTTTCCTTTTTATGCCGTTTCCCATCTTTTTGTCTGGACTGCTTTACTGTGTCACTCATCTGTCGCACGTGTTGTTCCTTTGCCGCTGTGCACATGTAGTAAAGGTGCTGTCTCCGTCAACCGTCTTCGCATGTCACAGCTTCATCTCTGGATGTGTTTGGAGATTTTTTGGCTTTTTTTTAAAAAAAAAAAAAAAAAAAACCTCCAACAGAGGATTTTTTTTACCTGTTAAACTGCGTAGTTCCAAACCTTGACAGTGATATTTAAGGATCAAAGACAGAATCGTAGAATCATATTATTGGTCCGTAACACGACTTGAACGTAGGTTCTAACCCTGACCTGACTGGGACTTCACTTCCTGCAGTTCTTCTTCAGACTGTTGTGAGCGTGGCTGCAGTCCAGATATCTTTACCACCACATCAGTGTTGCTTCATCAGCTAATTAAGGAAAGACGCTGATGTCAAGAGTGCTCTTGTAAAAAAAAAAGAAAAGAAAAACAGATTACATCTTAGAAAAGAGATGCACAAAGTTTTTTTTTTGTTTTTTGTTTTTTTAATAAAAAATATTATCCGCCCATGTATGAAAGTGCAACCCGATCTTTCGTCTAAGATGCCAGAGAACACTTTCTAAATATAAGATAATCAGGGATGTTGATCCTACCATGACTTCTATCAGAAAGCTCATTATTTTTTCCTCAGTCTGCAGTCGCAGTGTTCTGCTTTGTTATTTATGACTAGAAACAATCACCCTGAACACAGACTGCTTCGTTGTTTGTATGAGCGGGAACTTAATGTGGAGGCAAAGTTAAACCAAATTGAAAAATTCCATGCAATATGGAAAGAAATATATGTATGCATAGGTTCTGTATCGATTAAAAAAAAAAAAGACGTCAACACATTCATTCATTAGCTTCCCTCCACCTTTTGCAAAAACAATTTACAAACATTTTTTTCTGAAACTTTAGCCTGGAGTCTGGGTTGAGAACACATCATTCAGTGAATCGTTCATTCATATATTTTCCGTGTCCAGTAGGAGGGTCTGACTCTGTTCCCCTTTCACCAATCTCCACAGACCCTGCTTCTATTTTAATCTGATTTTACCTTCTTCCTGTGTCAGCCCTTCTCTCTTTTCCTCTCTTTCTCCTTCACCTCTCGGCCCCCCTCCCACCCTCACCCCTCCAAACATACACAACCACCTACACGCTCACACACTTCCTCCCCTGTCACTCTTTTGCCCGGAGCTCCCCTGCAGCGCCTGTGACAAGTTGAACAGGGGGGACAGCGGGGGACAAAAAAAAAAAAAAAGACCCTTGGTTTTTGTGCCTTGAACAAGCTTCCCTGCCCACACAGGCTAACACACACACACACACATACCCAAGGGCGGCTAGCTCGAAGGGGGTTGCCATGGAGACAAGACCAGGGCAAGAAAAGAAGGGAATCAAGAAGATGGATGGTGTAAAAGAAGGACAGATGACGACGAAGGACTGACTTTTGTTTTTCAAGTATCTTTCTGCCTTTGAAGACGTAGCTTCCTTGTTTTTTTTTTCTTACTTTTTCACCCCGGCTGCTGTAAGACGTGAGGTCAGCTCTGAATCATAGCCATTCCACCTCCCTTTCCACCTGTTTTTTTTTAATTAAATCCTGGCCTTTCACATACAAAAAGGTGAGAAACAAGAAAAGCAACTCGACGTAGAATAAAAAGAAACCAGAAGAAAGGGGATGTAGTGAGGAAATTGAGGTCTAGCTAAAGTCAGGGCTGCAGAAAATTTTGCCAAAATAAATCCCTCCAGTCTGTTTCCTGATAGGGCTCTCACTTTATCCAAACAACCTTGTCTGAATGAAGATTATTTGACACGCCAGACCTTTTGCTGTCATAATCGTTCCTGGCCAGGATGATATATCACCAGAGAAAACTGTGTGATTGATGAAAATATTGAGCAAAAAGAAATAATTCTGGTGAATATTGTCAATAGGGTTTGGAATGTTACAGTGTGTACGTACTGTAGTCTCTCTCCACTGTGTGAATGAACAAACCATTACATGAGAAATAGGACGTGACATTTTGTCGGTCCATCCTTTAAATGACATTCAAGGGTTTTTTTATGTATGTATGAATTCAACATCTCTTGAGCTTATATGAAACTAAAGGTCAGAGTGAGTTAATAGTTTTACAGGTGTAAAAAAAAAAAAAGGTTTATTGTTTTTTTTGCCATTTGTGGTTAGTTGTCTGTTAAAGTGCTGTGTGAAAATGAATTCCACCTCTCATTGATACTACACAGGCACAGAGGCATTATTGCTGCATTGGCGCAAATCGTATTCTTATATACAGTAGCAGGAGCCAGCATATCATTCATAGAAATATCCTTAAATCTTCGTGAATATGTGACGTAAAAAACAGTACTGTGGAGGTGTGGCTTTATTTCCATGAAATAATGCAGTTGTGAAGCAACTGCTTGTGAAGTAAATTCTATATTTACACTCAACATACTGCAGTGTTGTTAGCTTGTTTAGCTTGCTTGCTAAGAGAAACATCATACTCACATAAGGTCCATTTAAAATGTGTTGAACTTGACTTGACCTTGCTGTTGTTAAGCTTGCTTGCTAATGGCAAAACATCAAGCTTTCATCAAGCTGTCCTGGGATTAACGCTGTGGTCCGTTGACCATACACTGGTCACAGGGAAATAAATCATATCTGTTCAGAGCAGTGATGAACTTGAGTTGCCAATGTCAGGAAACAGGGTTGACGTTCTCATAATAGTTTTTTTGTTCCCAGTACAGTGAGCTTTAGACCTAGAAAGTGCTTTACAGACAGAACCAGGGCAGTATTGTTGGAGAGGGGATTAGGACTTGAAATGGAACACACCCTAAGGTTAAGCTGCCTGTACAGTACAGTAACCTCTGCCGGGGTATGTGGTCACCACATTTACCCCCATACTTGTACTAATAACCTTAGAAAAAAGGAGATGAAAAAGTTTTGTTTTTTTTTTTTTTTAGATGAAAAAAGTTTTGTTTTTTTACTGACTGTTTGTTATAGGACTGACAGATGACTGAATGAGCGATCATTGAAATCAAAAGTGTATACTTGACTTACAGGCACATTGGCTTCCAGTGCACATCCAGTCATTGAGTTTTCCTCAGATGTAGTGTGTTTATCACTGTCTCCATTGATTGCCTTTGTGTTTGTGTATATTTGCTTATCTCTGCTTAGAAGTCATTAGTGATAACATACTAATTATCCCTATCACTCTCTGTCCTCCACACTTTGTTTCCTTTTTTTTCATCTCCGTCCCATTATCCCCTCACACTCTCTTCCTCTCCCTTTGATGACATATCCGCTCCTGACAAATTTCTTCCCTCCGCACTAATCCCCACGTCTTATCTACTGTACGTCTCTCTCTCTCCAGGACGACGCTCGTGCGGACGTGGTGGACTGCGTGGTGCGTGACATCCAGAACAGTCAGTGCATGCTGAACGTGGAGTACAATGGCGTCACCTGCCCACATGTCACGATACAGTTTGGGGACACCAAGGATGATGCCGGCCTGGGTCTGGTCAAAGAGGGTTTGGTCATGGTGGACGTCCGCAAGGAGAAGCACCTGCAGAAGATCGTGAGTCACTAAATATATACTTATACGCTGCTTTGACATGTGTAAATACAGACAAGGGCAAACTGCAGCCCAGAATACTGAACCATCCCAATAGAATAATTAACTTTATTTCGGTCCGTGAGCCAAAAAGTTTACCAACCCCTGCATTAATTGGCTTGTCCCATAGTCCCATCTGTGACCCCACTAGGGGGCATTGCTGAGTTCGAAGTTCATTGCCAGGCTGACGCCAGTTTCTCAGTGACAGTGGAGGAGGTCATTATGTTCCAGGTCAGAGCAGGACATGGTGGTGTCCTGGTGCTGGTGGTCATTTATTATGGCATGGCATGTGGACAAAGTTTTATTCATTTGTCCCACCATCTGTATCTTTGTTCCGCCGTGTTTTTATGGCTTTTATAGATGCACGTAAGCTAGATTACACAACATCGCCATTTCCACTGGTACTGCTTTGTGTCATGTGATGGGGTGGGCTGCCACTAGGTCTCGGAAAACATTTCATATCCCCCACTTAGTGGAAAGCTAAGTGACGGAGATGGACATAGTTATTGCCAAATGGGCCTGTTGTTCATTATTTGATGGTCCATGTGTGTCTGTCTGACAGTCCGATAATTGCCACCCTTCAAAGCCAGTGTGCACAAACCTATATGCTTCCATGTGAGCATGTTATGTTTATTTTTTTAAGTGACGCAAATGAATCCTGTTTTGCACTAAACACTTGCTGGTTTGTAATTGGAATGTGATATAAAGCCTCCTCACCTGTCAATCCAGCACTGCAAAATATACATTTACACCAGTGCCATTCGCCTAAGATGGCAGCCATTTTATCGGACCCATTTTCCTCCGTCTTGTGCTAATTTGCAGCGGCACATTCAAAGCCACTCAAGATAAAGAAAAATGGAGGCCATTCATTTCCACCACAATTACTGCTCCGGCACATCCCTAATATCAGTCCCGCTGCTGCTTATGTGGAAATGCTAACACACGAGAGAAGAGAGTAATTGTTTTTTAACCATTTCACAGAGAATATCGTCATAAATTAGACGCTGGCAGAAAAGTACTTTTTTGTACACACAATTTATTCAATCACAGATGGAGATATAGGGACTCTTTCCTGGGCCGGAGTGATAAAAGCACTTCCTACCTTGTCGTCAATAAAGCACCGTGATCTCATCATTGGAAGTGTGTTTCGACCCCTGACCTCTAAAGAGTAGCCGGAGACCATAATGCAGTCGCTGCGTAATGGACCCTATAGACAAAGGACAGTGATTAAAACCCTCCCAGCCATACAACTAATAGGCTTACAGAGAGCGCAGATTTAGGTTCCGTTGTATCAAATGGGTTCACATTAGTATTCAACAGCTGTGTTTTCTCAGCGTTTGCCTCTTCCTCACTGGCTGCACATGAATATTTTGAACGGGAGGAAACTTAAAAAGCAGCAGCAGTGTTGGCAGTGTGCTTACAAGAGTGAGCTGAAGTAACTTCCATTGCATTTTCTTGTTCATTTCTCACATCACGTCTGGTTCCAAGCTCGATACTGAGCTCCATGCCTCATATTTCCAACTGAGTGAAGGCAGGCTAAAGTGTTATATGGGCTACTTTTCACAGCGCTAAATGGAATCAATGTGCTCCTGATCCTTAGAAGGTTTGCACCTGTGTGATAGACCGCAATTCAGTTGTACACAGTAGCTGCGCTGTTCCATTCAAAGCCTGTTATTAGACTGAGATGAGGTGTAGAGGTGTATCATCGTGTTTGGTTTCTCAATCATACAGTAATAGTGTCATATTTAGATAATTGGTGACTTAAAGCTGGATGAGACTACGATTGACTTTCACCTTAACAAAATATCAAATTCCAACAACTATTGCCTTAGCAAGTAGACATTCATAGATAATAGGACACCTCTTGTCTCTGGTCTACCCAGAAGCCGCTCCCTTTGGAAGCATCATTTTTGTTGCGTTTGTACCCGCTTTCACGCTTCATGAAGTTACTATCACACAGACACGAAGGCAGTATTCAGTGAGCAAAACTGAAAGTAGAAATTGATACATTTTTGGTTTTCTAAAGCTGGAGAACATTAGGTTTTTTTTTTCACACACTTTGGTATCGTCTTTGTCAGCTGTTTGTTCTTGCTTGCTCACAGCAAAGAGCTAATTTAAGGCAGATCTGATTTTTTTTCTTCTGTGCAGCAGTTAATGAGCTTTTTCTGCAGTGCCCTCTATTGTATTGAGGAAAATTGTCACATCTATTGTTCCTGTGACTTTTATTTAATAATTTAGTTGTTCTTACAAAACCATCCTCATTTAACAAAGGAAATAAAATGATAAATCTGTGCAAAGTTAAAGGCTCTCCTGAAATAGAGCACTGTCCTCTCCCACAATAAATTGTGCCTCTTAATGGGACCCTGCCCCCTACCTTTGATGCCACTTCTTTGAAAGAAGAAAATAACTGGGACCTATTTTGAATTGTTTCAACATTTGGATTTTCACTTCCACCCTAATGACCTAACTGACATTTGGGCCTACAGTATAAATTAGTCGCAGTTGTACTCTGTGGTAAAGTCTCCTTGTCGAACTAAAATGTGAATGTGTAATATTTTGTTGTATTTGTCTGTTCTGGAGAACTGATTAGCACCGAGTAGATCCAACATTTTGCTGCACACAGCGCCCACTGCTAGAGCAGTGGTTTTAACTGCTCTTAACCCTATATTTAAATCTTAGGGCTTTGATTTACATTGTGTCGTGTCAGGTTCTGGCTTTAAGTACTGTACATCCTGCTCTAACTGGACAAGATGGGTTTGATAAACGAGCAATTTTCAGGAAAATGATTAGATCGATTGAATGAAAACAAGGCAGAAAGTAATTTTCTTAAGTCCTTTATTTAGTCTGATTCATTGTCATTACTTAATACCTGTTATTCTCAAGGAGAGTTTGATTATCCCTCCTCACCCCCCCACCCTCCTACCTAATCTTTTAATTTCCCCTTAACCACAGTATTTTCTCTCTTTTGTCTTCAATGTACTATTTTGGCTCCAATATTTATGAGTAGCACTGCAGCTGCTGCAGTGGTGAATAGAAGAGAAAACATTTTCCTCCAAAACTGTACAAGGACGATACCTAAGCTAACCTATAGATCTGCTCTCTTAATCTTTTCATCTTATTGAAAGTTACCCTTTTGATGTACTGTACATAATACAGAATCAAAAGATTTCAGCAGGACCCCTTTATATTTCCCCCTTTTTTTTTTTTTTTTTTTTTTACACATCCATGCCTTCGGCCCTGGAATGAAAGTGACTCTTGTCGGTTTTATCCATTCCATTTTGGCTCTTCTGTGTCCACAAACCATTGCAGAGGATTGAAACATGGTCATTTTAATCTCCGTTGTGTAGCATTGTGTAACAGATGGGCCGTAATGTTCACTGGCACTTGAGCGACCGTCAGTTGTCACCCATAAGTGCACTGGAGGTTAAGTCCTGCCTCTGAGAATAGTGTTGTCCCCCGAGTGGGAGAAATATTTGTCCATATGGAGTTTTATCTATAGATATGTTTGTTTTTTTTTTTTGTTTTTTTTTTTTTTTTTTCAAATCCATGCCTTCGGCCCCGGGATGAAAGTGTGCTTTTTTTGTTTTTTTTTTTTTTTTTTCAAATCCATGCCTTCGGCCCCGGGATGAAAGTGTGCTTTTTTTGTTTTTTTTTTTTTTTCAAATCCATGCCTTCGGCCCCGGGATGAAAGTGTGCTTTTTTTGTTTTTTTTTTTTTTTCAAATCCATGCCTTCGGCCCCGGGATGAAAGTGTGCTTTTTTTGTTTTTTTTTTTTCTCAAGTGCCTCTGTGCCTTAAGCACTCCACTTGTTGACACACTCATTTAAGCTGCACGGCTGCTGTTGAAGCCATTTGTCAGTAGCGCAGATATCAGCGTGAGCATCATTGTGATCATTGTGTAGGTCAGTGGTTCCTTAAGTGGGAGGCAGACCTCACTGCAGGGGCACGGGGCTATTGGTGAGGAAGGGATCGCCGAGGCAAATGAATTCTAATTAGGTCCGTCCAACAATTATAATTTTTCATCCACTTAATCGCATGGAAGCCGTGGATTAGTCACGATTAATTGTGATTGTAGTGAATTAATTGAGATTAATAAACGTTCCGTAACATGACTGTTTATGGCTGGAACATGAAGGGAAATGGAAGCAAATAGTCGATGCTTCACACCTGGTTTTATCTCTGACTTAAACAAGTGATGTAATCAATGTTATGGAAAAATATAAAGCAAGCAGATATATAACTCAAAATGTTGCTTCGTAGAGTTTGTGGGTTTTATTCCTTTCAGTGCAACTCGTCAAGAGTTCTTTCAAAACCTCAGTAAAGCTGCTGATTTGGCCTAAGGCATGTGCAAACACATGCTGGGCAGTGACAAAGTATTTTAGGTTCATAGTAATTTGGTGAAGCAAAAATATTTTTTAAATGTCAACATGTGTATTAACAGTATTTGCGCAAGAAATATTTTCTGACGGTGGAATTAAATAATTTTTTTATTCTAATCCAATCCATTTTAATAGGCTAAAGTTTAACATTTTGAGCTACAATCGTCTCCATTGTTCTTTAAAAATATCAGTTTTGTAGGAGAAGCTGTGTTTAAAATAAACTTTTGTAACAATTTTAAATAACAAATATGAATCTGTTGGGCTGGAGATTCATCCTGCCTTCAAAATGGCGGGGAGCTGAAGAAATGGTTTGGGAAGCAAAGGTGTAGGCAAATGTAAAAACATGATCCTCCGATGACAGCCGTACATGGGGCTTTAAATGGGGGAAAGAAGGTAGGAGGATGAAAGTTAATCTAACCCATGATTGATGGACTGGACCAGACTGGACTAGACTAGTCCGTGAGGGGAGAGTGACAGCAACCTAGAGGCAATGATGGACAGAGAGGCATTGGGTTAAGTATGTATCAAACTGTTCTGCAGTTGGGAAGTAAAACCCTTTGGAGGTCGTTACTCTGGACCAGTGACT